ACACACATAGTATCTTTGCGAAACCTTGTCTTGCCAATCTAAATTTATATGGAGGCCTTGAATTTGGGTGGGTTATTTTTATGTTACTTTGGATGAGTAAACCTAAAATTTCAACACATAATTAAAAGAAAAATGTGAAGTTTTTCAGCCTCTGTAGAAAAATGTGTGAGAGATGACAAATGTGTGCTACTGCAGATTAAAGTCATAAGAAACGATTTTCTTTAAATTTTAATGTTCTCGAAATTATTGAACCAATGCATGCATATATACTAAACTAAGTCTTGGATGCGCGTTTTTTTTTTATATTTATTACGAATCTATAACGTATTATCGACAAATAATATTTCATTCAGTGATTGTTGATCGCAAACTAATTAACTGTCGAGTTTGTTGCCAAAGTTTACCGGATCGTGTTATAGGTTAAATACTTGGTCATGTTTTATGAATATTTAAAGCCCGAGGCGTAGCCGAGGGTTTTAAATGTTCATAAAACATGACCAAGTATTGTCTGACCAATTTAGAACATATTCACACCTTCGAGTGACATAACAAAATTAGCCTATCATTGTTATATTTAAAGTTTGATATAAGCTCACTTTAAATGTTAACATGGTTAGTAAAAGGAATGTAAATCATTTTAATGGTCATTTCAATTAATTAAATGAAAGAGCAATGAGATAGTTTTGTGATAACAAAAAATGATAAATTATTCAAAAATGGAGATGTCTTCTGCTTCAGGTATAATTTAATCTTATATATTTAAAATTCCTTCATTTTAAAGACCCCCCCCCTCCAAAAAAAAAAGAAAAGAAAAAAAGAAATGAAAAGGGGGCAAAGGTGTGGGCAAAACACATGTAGTTTTTAATCTGATTTTTAAACGAGACCTTCAAACCAATGTTTTAAGCAACAATGACTGTTGATAAAAAATAAAAGAAAGCTTCATCCATAAAAAATAAGCATCTGATGTTGAAACGATTGTAAATTAAAATTCATTGATGAAGTTTTTTTCATTGTCAAAAATTATACAATTTAAGAAAAGAATATTTATATAATATTGTGTGATTTTTATATGTACCATTAAATAACATTTACAATGTAAAAATCTCAACTTAAAATGCTTTTAAAGTTTTATAGTTCTATTCTCCTGATTTCATTTATAATTATTAGACAAACAACTGTACTCATGATTTTTTCTTTGCTCTTTTCCTTTGGAAATTGCCTTGGGGGATTGTACACTTCGTTAGAACAGTTTTTAAGAGTTCACTTTCATAATTAATTTACGATGTAACGTCATTCATGTGTATCATTTTATAGTGCATGGAAAGCCATGTACTATGAAAAATAGAAGTGAAAATACTGATTTTCCATTGGACGAGAATGGGTGAGTATGTTCTAAACATTGATAAACAATAAACACAGAGCACGTGGAAAACGTGACAAATAGGTGAATTGAAAGAGCTGGAACATTTGGTTTTTATATTTTCCATGCGTTCCCATTTGTTAATTAAACTTTTCCTTAACATTTGTTAATTTTTTTGTTTTAAATTTGTTCTTTAAGAATCTGTTATTACTATTTACCTTCCAGAGCACGTTTGTTTACATTCTTTCATCACGGTTTCCCCCTTGCACTTGCGTTTTGCTGTGGTTGAAGTTATAACGAGAGGTCTCGTAGTTAAGGTCACTGCATACGGAAAAAATTCGGCGAATTAGTGTCTGGGAAGTCAATAATTCAATATCGGTACATTTATGAAGATTTTGATAATATAAAGGATTTTCTTTTAAAAGAAAGTAAAACTTAGCCATTCAAGTATATAAAACATAATCAACTTTTTTTTTAACTTTGAAGTTTCATATGACTTTAAATTTTAATATAGAAGTAAATAAAGCAATGTTTTACTGATGGTTCTGTAACGTGTAACCAGGCGTTTATATCGCAAACGAGCGTTCCAGTTTAACTTTGGATCCAAGTTGTCCACAAACAATACGGCAATACTAAAAACTATATATCTATCTATGTTATGCACAATGAACTAAAATATACACACCGAGTCTTTGTCGATACAAAGTAGCCATGAACAATAATATATACAAGCATTATACAATATAACAGCCTGTTCTAATGGGACGGTATGTCACTACAAGACAGTGCGGCTGGTACAGCTTGTTCTCCGAGTGGGACAGTCTGTCACTACTAGACAGTGCGGGCTGGTACAACTTGTCCTCCGAGTGGGACAGTCTGTCACTACCAGACAGTGCGGGCTGGTACAGTCTGCCCTCCGAGTGGGACAGTCTGTTCTGTCAACTTAGAATATCCAATCCAACCTGTACGTTTACTTTGTACCCGGTACAAAGTGTCCTTTCGATATTATTGCTCGTACACTACGCAACTAATATCTTCACCACGTAACTCTGTTGGTTTACTGGTCTTCTTCTATGTAAGAATATTGACAGCTCATTGACAGCTCCGAGTGGCGTTTCTTATTTTCTTATATACCCGATGTCGAATACATTATTCCCCTTACGGAACATAGATAATTCCTTATGAACACCCCTATAACCTTCGACCCGGCCACTAACATTCCCGCCAAACGTCTAAACCGGCATAACGCTTTCTCCAGCTTTAATCATGTATCGTTACAATAAGATTCTTCGTATTTGTAACCTTAGCGACCAATAAACATTACAGTTCGAACTTGAAAAGGTCCAATACTCTTATAATAAATCTCCAAGAAATACAGACAAACGCCTTTTCATTATCAATTACGAAGATAATACCAGGTATATAATTTTCTTCTGAAAACAATAAAATATCATAGATTTATAAATAGTATTTTCATCAATACATCTTCCAGGAATAAATCCTGTTTGATCATTATTTAATTTATTAGAAGTGACAAGATAGTCTTGAAAAGGTCTGCAATAGAGCTAGATCCACGTTTTGCTCTCGCTTCGACGAAGTGGAGAAAGCGAGACTTAGGCGTGCTGTTTCCGGCGGCGGCGTCAGCAATGTATTAGTTTGTGATTAAGTCATGCAGTTGTATTAGCATAGCACATTTCATTTCCTGGCGATTATTTGACCCCGCACCCTCAGTATTGGTTAATTGACTTTGAAACGTTTTCTTAGTTTACATATCTTAGTTTGTGATTAGATCATGATCAGTCTATGGGGAACCACTAGTGGTAGGTCCATATTATTTGATATGCAGTTGTATTAGCATTGACACATCTTATTTCTTGAGATTATTTAGCCCCGCTTTTTCAGTCATGGTCTTTTGCATAGGTTATAAAAGTTTTTGAGCAGTTCAGTTCAAGAAAAACCACTAATATTAAGCCAGTGATAATTGGTATGCAGTTGAATAATCAATTACAAGTCTCATTTCTATAGAGACACTGTCCTATCATCATGGTTCATTAACTTTAAAACGTTTGCATATTTTACAAGTTAAAGTTTGTGTTTAATATAAAAATAAGAAGATGTGGTATGATTGCCAATGAGACAACTCTCCACAAGAGACCAAATGGTTGGTTTAAAGGGAACCACGTAAAATAAGTCAACGGTATTTGGTATGCCGTTTTATATCTCATTTCCTTGGAGGTTATTTGGCCCTGCACCTTTAGTGATGGTTCAATGACTCTGAATGTTATGCATAGTTTGAATAGTGCTATTTTAGTTTCGACATTTGCATTTTACCACCAACATTACAAGAGCGAGACATATATATGTGTCAACAATTTATTTTACTGTGTTTCAAGACTTATAGGTTGAAAGTTTTCATTTCCACTAGCGTAACCCTTCTTGTGGCTCAAGGTGAGCAACCATACAGTTACAATTTGCATATAGGTGTCACAATCGCAAAAATGTAAACTGTACTGTGGGTTCGAAATGTGAAAAAAACATCCGTGACAAATGAGACAAAAATCAAGATTCAAAACCAGAAAAAAAAATGAAAATCGCATTCAACAACAGACACATAATGTAATCAAAATATGTTGCAAAAGCAAGAATGATAGCAATTGATAGGACAACAGGTTTTAACTTACGCATTCTTTTTGAGAATTGTCTATACATATAGTCCGGAGCGTAGAGAGTTGTAAACAAAAAAATAAAGGTCTACACCAAAATGTGTCAAAAAAAAAAAACCAAATTCTTTTTGATATTATTTCAAAGATTTATACATAGACGATCAAAAATAACATTTTTGTTTTTATACAATACTAAGATTGAGAATGGAAACGGGGAACGTGTCAAAGAGACAACAATCCGACCAAAGAGCAGAAAACAGCCAAAGACCACAACAGTGAAAAAATCCCGCAGCCGGAGGCGCGCTTCAGTTGGCCCCTAAACAATAATGAATACTAGTTCAGCGAAAATGGACGTCACACTAAACTCTGAAACATATAAATGAACCAAAATTAAAAAAACATACAAGACTAACAAAAACCAGAGGTTCCTGACTTGTTACAGGCGCGAAAATACGGCGGAATTAAATCTATACCTCTAGCCAATGTAGAATAAACAAACACACAGCAATACGTACAGTAAAACTCAGTTTAGAAAAGAGGTCCGATTCCGATGTTAAAATATATAGGTGACAGAAGAAAATTAGCAAAATGACAAAGATCAACATAATTTAACAAAGGACTACTAGCAGTTACTGACATGCCAGTTCCAGACCTCAATTAAACTGATTGAAAGATTATGTCTTCATCATATGAAAATCAAGCAGAATCCCTCCAGTTAGGGGTTTAGTATCATACCATCATAAAATATACGAGAAGAACATAGCCCGTATCAACAACTGGTTTTAGAATAAATGTGTTTAATCCTATGAGTGAATCAATATTTATTCCAAAAATGCCATTGTTTGTTTAATCAGTGAGCGTCGTTCTCAATTCCTTGTTCGTTTAATGACGATGCATAAACATGTGTTTCGCTAGATTCATTGCCGGAAATGGAGTAAGTGTGACATCCTTTTATCTTGTTTTTGTAGAATCACGGAAATTATTGACTTTTTTATCATGACAATTTATCATGAAGATACTGAAGATAGTGATTTATGTTTTTTTTTGGATTTTAGGCTCTGTTCAGAGTGAGAAATGTTACAATAATGCAATGTAATCTAAATATTGTTTGATGAAAATGTAGTATGATGGCTAGCGTTTTTGTACAGTTCACATGTGAAACAATTCAACAATAAAAATAGCTTTTTGTGTTAAATTGTAGAGAGACAGAATTAAATAATGATTTACTCTAAATGTAGTAAACTAAGTCTGTTAATCAATTGCATTTTAAAACCATGAACTAAATTATTAAAATCAGTACAAAACATGATGACACCCTTGGGTGTCATTCGATATATCGAGAAAAATGAGCGTGAAAGAAAAACTAACGGTGGTCAAGCATTGCCAATGAAATCGTGAAAGATCTGGTATTAAATCATTAATGCAATTAAGTTTAATTTTACTTCAAAACCTGTGAAAAAAATCTGCTTTATTTTCAAAATGTGGTACAAATCAGAAAAAAAATATATGTCCGTCAAAATGATTCAACTTCCTAAATAATACTGTGCACAACGGTAAGGAAAAAATGAGTACTTTTAAAGAAAACACAAAAGGCGACACACAATCCTATGGCAATCATTAAGGAAAAAAATCACGTTTTGTATCTATAAAGGTCACATTAATTATATCATGATGTATTTGATTGAAACTTAATCTTTAGTGTGTCAGATAGTGCATTAAAATAAAAGTAAGTTATCATTTGAAAAAATTCGAATATCTATTGCCTTATAAATGATTGAAAAAAAAGTATAATTGTGTTGATTTTTAATCATAATTGATCGTGAAAGATCAGGCAACGCATTAATTTGATTCTGAGAGACAAGGCGTGATCAGACTCAATGATTAGAACATTCCTTTTACCAATTGATATACTTGTAATTGGTCGGAAGCGTTCATAACTTACAAAGAACGTAAATTAATGATTTCATCTTTTTTCGTTTTTTTGTGTGATATATTTATCAATTTTGAACTTTTGACGAGATCAATACGTTATATATGGACCTTTACAAATTATATTGACCGAGGACGAAGTCCGAGGTTCAATATAATCTAACATGTCAATATATAACGTATTGACTGAGTGAAAGTCCTTAATTTATATATTACATATGTAAAAAGTGTATTATGGAAATGGACTTCGTACGACATAAAACTTATGCAGGATGGACAGACGGACCTATATTGTTATAGGGCAACAAGTTGGTGTGGTATTATCAAATAATCAGATCCAATGGAATTGAACCATCAAAGCCCTATCCACAAACAAAAGTGAACCGGAATAAATCATGCCAATCCAATATCACTAAGTTATCAAGTGTTTAAAGAATGATTTGATTGTTGTCGTTGATTTTACAATAACGAATAAGCGGCTAAAGATCTTTCACGATCCTTTTCACGATCATCAAAAAGCGATACCAGATCTTTCACTATCCGTTATATTATGTTTTACAAATATTTCCATTTTTGCTAAATTTCTAATTAAACTACAACACAATTACTTTAGGAACCACTTAACAGTAATATGGAACGACATTTTAAGGAGAAAAGTAGGTCATACATTCAAAATATGAAAAAAAAATCATGTTTGTTTACATTTGTGTGTCTTTAAATTTCGATGAGCAATCTGCCTTTTTTAGTTTTATAAAAACGGTGTACTTTAAAACCTTGATTTATATTGGATATTGATCATTATGTTGAACCATTTTGAAAGATTGTTTTATTTCCCCAATATTTGTCATTATAATTTATAAAATTAGTTTATTTACTGACGTTGCATGTGTCTACTTGATAAGATTTCCTCCACGATTCTATACCAGATCTTTCACGATTGGATCGCAATACTTGACCACCGTTACTTATTTTTTCAAGATATTTTTCTCAATTTACCGAATGACTGCCGTGGCACCGAGCAGCATCAAGTTCGTTTTACTTGTAATTTTGTTTGTTATTCACACCAACAATGGACATAGTGAATATAAATGAAAAAAAATTAACACACTCGTATGTGATTCTGTATATGAATTATTTAGCTTTCAAAAGTTCAGTTTGAAAATACATGATTACTTGAATTAAATTGTTTTTGATTGATTGATTGATTGATTGATTGGTGTTTTATGCAACTTTCAGCACTAAAATGCTATTTTGTGACTGTAAGTTTTTATTAGTGGAGGAAGTCAGAGTGGCCGGAGAGAATCACCAACACATCAACACACTCTTTTTTGATTCAGTATAGAAATTATTTAGCATTCAAAAGTCCATTTTGAAAATAAATGATTACTTGAATTAAACTGTTTTTGAACTACATCTTGTATTTGTACAGCAATGGTGTAATTTTGTCATGGTTTTGTTGTAATAATCACGAGGAGAAGAATGGCACGTGTATAGGTATGTTTTTGTCGAGATTTCCGAAAACAACGATAAAAAATTGTTTAATACCAAAAGAACGGACATTCAATATTTTACACCAAAGATAACCATTATTCCTTTGGTACAATATTCAGGAATTTCAGGCTAAAGACATGTATCTTCCTCAATATGCAAAAAAGAAAAGAAAACTCAATTGAAGTTAAGCAAACAACAAAACCAACCACCCATAAATTCGAATATCTATTGCCTTGTAAATGATTGACGGAAGTAACTGCTGGCTTCGAATATATTTTTGGTCTGAAAAGCTTTCTCCAATTTTATTATGAAAAGGAGATGAGAAAATAAATACAATACGACTTTCTTATAGCTTCGAAAACCTGATTAAAACAAGTTCTATTCATGGGAAATCAAAAGAAAATATATCTTCTGAGTCGCAATTATTATGAACCATTACATCCGCTGATATTATTAAAAAGCAACAATATGTCTACGCTTTTATTCAATGAAAGAATGTCTTTTTTGTTAACAAATATTATAATAAAATACCAAAAAGGTGACGGAGTTAGATTTTAAATTTTTAATTTTGAATGAATCTCTAGCTATACGCCCAAATGAAATATGCTTATATTCAGCAGGCTGAACTAATTTTTATGAGAAACGCGATCTATTTGATATATAGAATGTGACATTGGGTATGTTTTAAAGGACGGATTTCCTTGTATGCCATGTTTACCGGAAAGATGGGGAAAGAAATGCGGATACCTTTGTAGCTGTCAAAAGAACGAAAGGTACATTATACGTTATGAATGATATTTCTAATCAGAAACTTTATTGACGCCGAATCTGTTCAATATTGCGGACTTTATTTAAATTGGCATTATTTCGCACCAACATTAGACACGACATTCTGAACTGTTCCCTCTAACAAAATGATGGCATTGTCTTTAAATAGTTTTCAATTATGGTCAGTTCTAACCTCTCTTCAGAACTTTTAAAGTAATCTGACAAAGAAATGTTCAAAAGTGTTCCAAAACAGTTCTGAAGTATATTTATTGTAACTGTCAGGATTATTTATAGGATAGAACTTCCAAATTTGTTTGAATGTGGCGGGGTTAACATGTTTGAAGGCGCCAACCCTCCCATAACATGGGACAGTTGTGTAACAGTACAACATACATTTAGTTTGATTGTTATAAAATGTAAAGTGGTATAATACTGAAACAATTGGGCGATTTATTTTTCATTTAGTGGGAAACTTTTTGTCCTGATATAACATAGCCTTCATTTTTATTATCATAATATATGTTTTATGCGATATTTGGACTATTTTTTTACTTTTCAATATTTCAGTATCAATGCTGCTTCACTTGTAAGCAAAAAGGACTTAAATTCTATACCCTGCATATCTTATTGTTGCTATCGGGTACATATTCACGTGTATACTTGATTTAACCAAAATGTAGTTTACAAAAACATTTGAAAAGAAGACAATATATGATGTTTATTCCATCTTTCTACTGAACATCAAGAAAAGTAAACAATGTCATTGCATTAAATTAAGAAATGAAATTCAGCACTGAATATGTATATAAACAGCCATACTGGTAAATAAATAAATAAATAAATAGATAGACAAATAAAATAATTAAAATGAATCTTTTTTTTTCTGCTCTTTGATAGAACTGTTTAAAATTGTTCTATGAAAGAATTGTATAAAACTTTTACATTTCAGATGTGTCTTCTGTTCTGGGGTATAAAGGTTATGGTGTCTGGATAACTTACTTGCGAAATGTTCTAAAAAAAAGTTCTCATAATGCTTCAAAACAAATGTTACGAAAGGTTGAAACTGTTCCCTACTGTATTTTGTATGATTTAGAACAACAATTTTCTAATTTAAGTAGACATTTCACCGCTGCAGTGAGAGCTTCGTGATTCGGCTTGTATTTGATTCATAACAGCTTAACTGTGGTTTTCTATTAGTTATATACCCAATAACAGAATGTGAAAGTTATATCTTTTTTTTTCTTTTTGTCAATAGGTTTACGTTTTGGTGATGCATTTTCTTTAGTTGTGTGATTCGTTAATTTTTCAGGTGTGATAGTGTATATGGATGTGTTGAGAGAACTGTTATCTCAGGTAACACGAGATTTTTTTTAATGATTATTCATTTTCACAAAATAATCATCATGATAGTAATATAATAATAATAATAATAATAATAATAATAATAATAATAATAATAATAATAATAATAAAAATAATAATAATAAACTGTAAGATGCAAACCTAAAAAACTAAAAGAGTCTATGAACACTCATGGTACATCTTTCTCCAAAAAAACGAAATGCTGCTTAACACCAATTTAGATACTGTTTTTAACATATTTGCTACATTCGGAGGACGCGTTTTGCAATAAACAATCGGCATTCCTCTTGCAACAATTCAATCTTGTAAATATATTCCATTATTGTAATAAAAAAGACTTCATGCAAGAACTTCTCAGGAAGAACGAAAAACGCTAGCCTTATCGTATGCCTCCTGTTTAGCTATTTTAAAAGGGCTTACGATACAGTTTCAAAATAGGCTAGACTCAAGCTAGCAGCCACTCGCTAGCAGCCACTCCGCTAGCAGCCAGTTTTCAGATATGTCTATAAACCCAAAAGTTGCATAAGATTCAAACTTACTAAAACGTTTTTATTTTATATAATCACAACAATATCTGTTTTAGCTTGAATTTAGCAGTCGAAAACATAATTCAAGAATTTTGAAATTTCATTTCCTGTTCAATATTTTAAAAACAATACTAATAATATGTGCTTTCAACATAGTACTGCACGCTTTAAAACTTCAACTGTCAACACTGACAAAATGAAATTCTTTAAATATGGCCAAATTTTCTTGTTTCATGGTATCGACTTTTCCATCAGAAAAATTTTGTTCGATATTGTGTGAAATAGCTTTCCATATTCTCGGCATCCTGTAAAATAGTTCCTAAAAAGTACCAGTATTTCTATGCTACACGAAATTCAAAGTTGCGTTCGTACTTTAATACTTTCATGTCAGCCAAATCTGTTTTAGCCAATCATTCTCTTTCTATAACAATGGGTTTCGCTTAGTTTTGATGAGACGCAGGGTTTATTTTTAGTAATCAATGTATGGTGTGCAGGGATATTACTAATTAGCTATATTTTAGTCAAGCATGCCTAAGGGTCCCAACTTTCATTTGCACCTAGTGTGGAAAAAAGTATTGCCGTAGGAAAATTTTTATTAACTTTGAAAGTTAGGGTAGGGTAGGGTGTCGGACCCCAACTTTGGACCAATTTTAAAAAAAATCCGTGCTATACCCCACCTGGAAATTTTAGTCAAGCATGCCTAAGGGTCCCAACTTTCATTTGCACCTAGTGTGGAAAAAAGTATTGCCGTAGGAAAATTTTTATTAACTTTGAAAGTTAGGGTAGGGTAGGGTGTCGGACCCCAACTTTGGACCAATTTTAAAAAAAATCCGTGCTATACCCCACCTGGAAATTTTAGTCAAGCATGCCTAAGGGTCCCAACTTTCATTTGCACCTAGTGTGGAAAAAAGTATTGCCGTAGGAAAATTTTTATTAACTTTGAAAGTTAGGGTAGGGTAGGGTGTCGGACCCCAACTTTGGACCAATTTTAAAAAAAATCCGTGCTATACCCCACCTGGAAATTTTAGTCAAGCATGCCTAAGGGTCCCAACTTTCATTTGCACCTAGTGTGGAAAAAAGTATTGCCGTAGGAAAATTTTTATTAACTTTGAAAGTTAGGGTAGGGTAGGGTGTCGGACCCCAACTTTGGACCAATTTTAAAAAAAATCCGTGCTATACCCCACCTGGAAATTTTAGTCAAGCATGCCTAAGGGTCCCAACTTTCATTTGCACCTAGTGTGGAAAAAAGTATTGCCGTAGGAAAATTTTTATTAACTTTGAAAGTTAGGGTAGGGTAGGGTGTCGGACCCCAACTTTGGACCAATTTTAAAAAAAATCCGTGCTATACCCCACCTGGAAATTTTAGTCAAGCATGCCTAAGGGTCCCAACTTTCATTTGCACCTAGTGTGGAAAAAAGTATTGCCGTAGGAAAATTTTTATTAACTTTGAAAGTTAGGGTAGGGTAGGGTGTCGGACCCCAACTTTGGACCAATTTTAAAAAAAATCCGTGCTATACCCCACCTGGAAATTTTAGTCAAGCATGCCTAAGGGTCCCAACTTTCATTTGCACCTAGTGTGGAAAAAAGTATTGCCGTAGGAAAATTTTTATTAACTTTGAAAGTTAGGGTAGGGTAGGGTGTCGGACCCCAACTTTGGACCAATTTTTAAAAAAATCCGTGCTATACCCCACCTGGAAATTTTAGTCAAGCATGCCTAAGGGTCCCAACTTTCATTTGCACCTAGTGTGGAAAAAAGTATTGCCGTAGGAAAATTTTTATTAACTTTGAAAGTTAGGGTAGGGTAGGGTGTCGGACCCCAACTTTGGACCAATTTTAAAAAAAATCCGTGCTATACCCCACCTGGAAATTTTAGTCAGGCATGCCTAAGGGTCCCAACTTTCATTTGCACCTAGTGTGGAAAAAAGTATTGCCGTAGGAAAATTTTTATTAACTTTGAAAGTTAGGGTAGGGTAGGGTGTCGGACCCCAACTTTGAACCTATTCCAAAAAATATAAGAGATACTACACCCTGGATGTTCTTTCTCAAGCAGACCTTAGTTCCGCAACTTTCGTTTATACCTAGTATGAGAAAAAGGACTTTGATGAGGTTAACCACTTTTTTGTCATCGTCGGTTTTACGTTATCGCTCAGATTTAGTCGTATGTTTCAATTGAACAATCACCCTGTCGAGGTATTTGGTTTTTGTTTTGCCCATCGAGATCATGCTTTCAACAAGCTCATAAATCATCTTTTCATTTTGATATAGTTAATGAACATATTTTATAGGAGTAACACGACGGGTGTCACATGTGGAGCAGGATTTGCTTACCATTTAGAAATATCCTTTTGGCATCTTTCGCCTCTCTTTTAATCCCTTCCAAAGTGAGCAGAACCTAACCTAGCAAATTAAAGAGGATACTGTAATGAAAAAAGATGACTGCGAATGTAACAGTGCCGGATCAAGGAGCCTACCAAGATTTTAAAAACCATATGAGATAAATGAAAGTTCCAATCATAGTGTACGGAAAGTGTTTAGAGAAATTTTCCCTTGATCCGGATGAATTCCAACTTAGGGCTTGCTATATCAAACGAATTACAGTAGAAACGACTACCAAGTAAACATGAATACGCGACTACCTAGCCAGCCTCAATGATAAATGTGTATTGCGTTACTTGCAGTAGAAGGGTTTTTCTTATGATACTGGACTGCGGTAAAACTCGGATTGCAAAATATAAGCTGGAAAAATTAGACACACACTTTAATTTGCTAAGACCACATGTATGAGATTTACACGAAGAATGGTCACCAAATTTTACTGGCCTTTACTTTGTCGAAAACTACATACCTCGGCTGAGGTTAACATAAATGTACCATCTTTTGTGTTCGATGGATTTTTTTTTCGCAAAGAATATATATCAAGAAACAGACTGCCTTGATTAATCAATGATGTTCCCAGAAAGTAAAAAGTAATTGATTGTGACATCACGTTTCCTATTAAGGAAATCGATGGAGATATGATAGCAAAAGAAGGGTTACCTAATGATTGTCCACTGGCTCCATAATCTTTGTAAATGAACGGAGTCAAGTCTAGAACCAGTCTAATCTTCAGAACAAGACAACATATGTGGTGCATCATGTACACTTAAAGAGATATCTGGCCACGGGGTTGAAACTTAGGAATCTACATAAAGTCATCATGTTCAACCAAAGCCCACGGTTGAAACCTTACATTGACAAGAAAACGAAACTCCGAGCCGAACATATGGCAACAATTTAAAAAGAATTCAATAAGATGATAAAAGTGTTTGCAAAAGCATTGAAAATATCCGGAACTGTGTTGGTATCCGTAACAACACGAAAGCTTTAAAACTAGCAACCATCCCCAAATTCAAGAAACGGACTATATCTAATGATTTATTGGCTGTAATCCACAAGACACGAACCAAGCTGGTATTTGACAAACCATCTACCTACGTTTGGAGATTTTGGACCTGCTAAAAACACTGATGACTGATTATGAATAAGACTACCTAAAAACCAAATACGGAACGCGAGCCACGATCTGCTTCACACACAATACTAAGTCTCGTTTGCAATATTCACACCACAGACATTTACAAATACATATATAAACATGTGCTCAGTGTTACGAGATCTGCAATTACCCGACTGACCATAAATCCAAAGTTTAGACTAAGGTCAACAAGAAAGTTCTTGGAATCTTTAACGAGCCGCCTGGCCAATCTAAGATATTCTCCACGTTGCCCATATGCATTGTACCAGAGATAAAGGTAGATATTGCCTCTAAAATGGCCAATAGCACTTATGCACTAGACCCGTGCGAACTTGTCACATTAGTGTGAGGGGTACCTGGTGTGTCACACACTAGTAGTCCAATAACTATTGCCGATTGTCCAAACTTAGATATTCTCCTTGTTGGCCATAGTACCAGAGGTAGATGGAGACATTACCTCTAAATGGACTTTAGCACTTATACTCTAGACCCGTTGCTTATTCTCCTTCGATATATTATTGGATTTTTGATATTTATCTGTCTGGTACAGCGCTCAAAAATCTTATTCAAGTTTATTCACAAAGATCTTGGCCACTGCATTGTACAATGTGTATAACAAAGTGGTTCTCTAGTTAACACCCTGTCGTCATAGCACTTAATGATATAGCAAATTCCGGGCGGTGTGTGCTTCTCTTAGAGTTTGATGTCTGGTTTGCAGTAATTCATTCGGCACTAGTGACTCATGATTTCTGCGGCCGAGATCTCTTTCTGTTCATTGATTTATTTTACAAAGTCTTTGAATTGATTTCTCTTCGATCCCTCACAATTTTTTGACTTGACGTCTTATGTGTAGTGGCGATGAAGACATATAAAATATACAGCCGTTCAAGTCAACCATTTAATAACATCTTATTTTGACTTCCGCCCAAGACGACGTACCGACGTCGACAAACGAAAGTACAATAAACG